GGGGGGATCTGGGGGGGTCCCGGGGGTCAGAGGAGACCCCAGTAATTAAAGGGGGGATCTGGAATTGGGGGGACACCTCAAAATCCCCGAGAGGGGCCCTAAAAAACCCGGGGGGGGTAAAAAGTCTCAGGGGAAATCGGGGAATGTTGGGGGGAAAAATTGAGGTTTTGGGGGAAATGAAGTTTGGGGGGATTTGGGGGGTTCTTGGGGGATCCCCATGATTTTGGGGGGGTCCCTGGGGATTTGGGGGGTTCCTGGGGGGTCCCTGGGGATTTGGGGGGTGTCTGGGGGTCCCCAATGCCCCCCGTGCCCCCCAGGTGGAGTACGAGGGGCTGGGGGGGTTCCCAAGGGGTTTGGGGGGTCTCTGGGGATTTGGGGGGTCTCTGGGGGTTTGGGGGGTCTCTGGGGGTTTGGAGGGGATTTGGGGGTGTCCCTGGGGGTCCCCAATGCCCCCCGTGCCCCCCAGGTGGAGTACGACGGGCTGACGGGGCGCGTGGAGTTCAACAGCAAAGGGCAGAGAACCAACTACAGCCTGAGGGTGCTGGAGAAGGGCCGTGACGGCAGCAGAGAGGTGAGGGGGGGACCCCCAGAGTGACCCATGGGACCCCCAGAGCTGCCCTGAGACCCCCTGAGTGACCCACGGGACCCTCAGGATCCCAGGGACCCCCAGAGCCACCCTCAGGACCCCTGGGACCCCCAGAGTGACCCCTGGGACCCTCAGGACCACCAGGACCCCCCCCAGTGACCCAGGGGACCCCTGGGACCCCCGGGGACAGACACGGGACCCCCTGAGTGACCCAGAGTGACCCTGAGTGACCCCCGGGGCCCCCAAGACCCCCAGAGCCACCCATGGGCCCCCAGAGTGACCCTGAGTGATCCTGAGTGACCCCTGGGGCCCCCGGGACCCTGAGAGTGACCCTCGGGACCCCCAGAGTGACCCTCAGGACCCCCGGGACCCCCAGAGTGACCCTGAGTGACTCCCAGGACCCTCAGGACCACCAGAACCCCCAGGGCGACTCCCAGGACCCCGGGGACCCCCAGAGTGACCCAGGGGACCCCCAGAGTGACCCCTAGGACCCCAGGGGCCCTCAGAGTGACCCCCAGGACCCTCAGGACAACCAGGACCCCCAGGGCGACCCCGAGGACCCCGGGGACCCCCAGAGTGACCCCCAGAACCCCCAGGACCCCTGAGACCCCCCAAGTGACCCAGACTGACCCCCAGGACCCCCAGAGTGACCCAGTGCCCCCATGACCACGCCCCATTCTCCAAGCCCCCGCCCCTCCAGCCCTGTGGCCCCACCCTCCTTTCGAAGGCCACGCCCCCCATGGCCCCGCCCCTCTTTGGCAGGTGGGGGTGTGGTTCTCCAACCGGACGCTGGCGATGGACGCGGCCACGTTGGCGCTCAACGCCTCGGACAGCCTGGCCAACAAGACCCTCATCATCACCACCATCCTGGTGGGCACTGGGGGGACTGGGAGGGGATTGGCGGGGACTGGGAGGGACTGGGAGGGGATTGGTGGGACTCGGAGGGATTGGGAGGGGATTGGGAGGGATTGGGAGGGACTGGGAGGGACTGGGAGGGGATTGGGAGGGATTGGGAGGGACTGGGAGGGACTGGGAGGGACTGGGGACACTGGGAGGGGATTGGGAGGGACTGGGAGGGGATTGGGGGGGACTGGGAGGGACTGGGAGGGACTGGGGGTACTGGTTTCCATTTGAGTCTCCATTTGGGATCTCCATTTGGGTTCTCCATTGGGATCTGCATTGGATCCATTTGGGATCTCCATTGGGATCTCCATTGGGGTCTCCATTGGGGTCTCCATTGAGGTCTCCATTGGGTTCCCCTTGGTTTCTCCCTTTGGGATCTCCCTTTGGGTTCTCCCTTTGGGATCTCCATTGGATCTATTTGGGATTGGGATCTCCATTGGGATCTCCATTGGGTTCCCCATGGTTTTTCCCTTTGGGATCTCCATTTGGGATCTCCATTGGATCCATTTGGGATCCCCATTGGGGTCTCCATTGGGGTCTCCATTTGGGATCTCCATTGGGTCCATTTGGGGTCTCCATTGGATTCTCCCTTTGGGATCTCCCTTTGGGATCTCCCTTTGTTATCTCCATTTGGGTTCTCCATTGGGTTCTCCATTGGGATCTCCATTGGATTCTCCCTTTGGGATCTCTATTGGGATCTGCATTGGATCCATTTGGGATCTCCATTGGGTTCTCCATTGGGGTCTCCATTGGGTTCCCCTTGGATTCTCTCTTTGGGATCTCCGTTGGGTTCCCCTTGGTTTCTCCCCTTGGTTTCTCCCTTTGGGATCTCCCTTCGGGATCCCCCCCTGAGCCCCCGGCGGTGCCTCCCCGGC